TGAGATTGAGTTGAACGAGAATCTACTATTCGTCGAAGAGACAGTTGAAATTCATGGATAGAGAGGTAAAGCGTACAAAACAAAGCCGCATTCCGATTGTGAAGGTTCGATGGAATGCAAATCGCGGACCGGAATTCACATGGGAATGTGAAGATCAAATGATGCGAAAATATCCTCACCTTTTCTGTAGTGCTAAGAATAGCTCTCAAAGGAATTTCGGGACAAAATTCCCTCTAACGGGGGGATGATGTCGCAACTAGTATTATAGGGCTAGGAAATTCTGTCCATGTTTAATTAACTTCTAGCATTTCTTGTAACCTCAATGTTAATACAATGCAAGTGGCTCGTTCAAAATGATGATTCAAGTCAAAACTCACTCGTGAAGCCCTAAACCTAATTCATTATACTACATTCAGTCCACTTTGGGTTTGTAATCCTAGCTTCTCGCTTCAAACCTCTTATTGGACTAGGATTCCTTTATTGGGCCGAGTGGGCCAATAACCCATCAACTTGGTTTTTTTGGGCCAAGAATCCACATTTAGACCCTAGCTGGACCCACATTCATTAAGCATTAGTATTTTGGACTATAAGATCCTTCATGGGCCTTATTAGGCCGAAAAGCACTTACTTTGTCTCTATGGACGAAAACCCACTCATTTAACCACATTGGGCCAAAAACCCATTTCTTTTACCTCCTTTGGGCCGTAAGCTCCTACTGGGCCCTAATGGGCCAAAAATTTTCTTGTTGGGCTACATACTTTCGGTTGCTATCCAATTCAAGCCCAATATTTATTCTTTCTCTCTTCCCCCTTGATAAATCAAAGAATCGAGTAAGTAACAAATCAAAGTATGTAAGAATGCAATATTGAAAACGGATGTAAATATGATCTTGTTTTCAGCTCTATTACGCTTTCAAATGTTACAGAGTACAAAGATAGGTTTCTATAAAAGCAACTCTTATCTAAATCTAGTAAATGTCCCTATTTATAAGAAACACAAATCATAGAAAAAAAATACTAAATCATTGACACTAAGCTTCGTATAAAAGCACCTTAGTAAAATACATTACAAAACATATTGTAACCCCCGTAGATCCAGGCTAGTCAATTTAGAGATAATAGGGGTCGAAAATGACTTTTTGACAAAAGATTATTTTCAATAAATAATCTTAAACAAGTTGCAGAATATATCTCAAGTGTTTTGTACATATAAAGAGCGCCGAAATCTGAGTTATAACGAAGAAGTTATGACTCGTTGAAGTTTCGCGATGGAACCGACACGACACCGGGAAGACGTAAATAGTGAGTTTATGATAGAGCGAATTTTAGCCTTAGTAATCTAAATGAAAGTCATAGAATATGTTAAGCTAAGAGCATCCATAAAAAAGAACGCCCAAATCTGACTTCGTATGAGGAAGTTATGATTTTTCGAAATTTCAGCTTAGCAGTTTACGACTCGAAACTCAAATTTTAGTTCGATCGGTTTTTGGCCTATGCAAACTAAATAAGATTTGAAGATCTCATTAATAGGAACTCAACGATAAAAAGATAGATGAAAATGGAGTCTATATGAAGGAGTTACGAATTCTTCGCGATCATTTAACAGTCTAATCTCCTCCTATTGCTAAATTTAAGATCGATCGAGAATTAGCCGACAAAGTCAAAATGAAAGTTGTAGATATTATTTTTACCTATCGGTGGATATAAAGAACGTCGAAAACGGAGGTCGTATGCGAAAGTTATGAATTTTTGAAAATTGGCTGATTTCTACCCTGTGTGCGATGCCACGTATCAGCACCAGAAGAAACCTTGGAGCCTACGCAACACCATGACGTGGTGACACCCTATAGAGCCTATAAATAGAGGTTCTAGGTGAAGCTCATTCCTCACTCCTTCAATCACTTATTTCTCTCTCTAAAACCTCTCTCTAACCCCCCAAACTGCCCAAAAAGCCTAGGGAATCCCCTAGCACGAGGTGGAAGCCTTGGAGCGCCCGACGGATATGAAAAAAAAAGAGCCTTCAGCTCAGAAACTCTGCTTCAGCGGAGCCCGGTTTTGAGAAAAACCCACTGTAAGTGAGCTACGCCTATCCTATCTTTAGTATAGCTTATGTTTAAATATAGTAACATTATTAGGACCTTCAAATAATTATTTGGGCTATTATTATGAGTTATATAAGAGTGTTGCTTACCGCTTATATAATAGTAGTAATAGCTAGACTATTAATTAGTCATGGTTAACATTAGACTAAACCCTAGTGGTATTGATACTAGGTTTTGTCGAGGAAAATTGTTTTGAAATAACGAAGCGTTATCCGAGTACAGAGTCACCACCTAATCAGGTGAGTGCATAATTAATTTCATCTTACACATAGATACAAAGTATTTTATATAAACTACGTGGTATGTGTGCATATTACTTGAATACTTGTTTTTTATGCTGGATGAACGATTTTATATATGTTTTAAATGATTTAAAATGTATACGTATTTTATATCTAAAAAATATGTTAGGTAGAACATGGGTAGATTAAAGATGAGATAAATGATTAGCGATAAGAGATGAGATGAATGATGAGTGATGATATAAAAGATGTAAAATATGGTGAGAAGCGATGACCTAAGCGATGACCCAAGCGATGGCCCTGTCATTTAGCAGAGTATGGATGACAACCCTGGACTATTTTAGACAGTCCAGTGGAACACTAGCAGGCTCGCAACCTGTAGGTGTTGTGAACGATGTGTTCACCGGTGTACTCTAAAAACCCATTGCCATGTATTGCGAGTGGACTCTCGAAAATGATATTGTCAATAAACAAAATAACCTTAGCAGCTATGCTCAAAGGACAATACTGGCAGCTGCGCCTCGTATAGAATGTCACAATTCTGGCAGTTGCGCCTAAGTGATAGAACTAGCAGATGTACTTGATAGTTGTGTCATTGACAACGCTGGAATTCGTATCTATTCCTTAGGATAATCCTTACGAATGAATGAATGAGAAATAGTTGATTCTTAGGGTAGACCCTTAAGAGTAAAGAAGATAATGGGGATGGGTAATTGGGTTAACTGTTTGATGATTAAACATAATAATTATATTATTGGGGGTTGAAAACCCTATGTACTTACCAAGTTTCCCAACCTAACCCACTTTGTTTATTTATATCACAGGTGTTGATATGAAGTCACATTACACTAAGAGATTAAGGAGATATAAATCACTAGTGATAATCAATGTAAGTTCTGTTTATGCTTATGTTTCTGTATTGACGATGACATCCCAAATGATTTAAAGTAAATAAAAATACTTCTCTTCGGAAATTCTTTGATAATGTATTTATCATGTTTTACTGGGAACAAATTCCGCAACATTTTCATTAAAAGAAGTAATCTGATTTTTATAAAGCATAAACATAATCAGTCTTTTCTAGCGTGAAAATGGTGATGTCACATATCTGAAGGGGAACATGACAGGCTTCGACTAATTAAAACATACTTTGACTATTACAATCTCCCCCTTTGTAATAATAGTCGAACTCCTTAGTTTGTGAGAAGATGAATGGAATACATCATCACCCTTCGTATTTCCATGTACCATGAAATAATCTTCTTAAGCTCCTTATTATCTCCTTCATTGTTCTTCTTGCAATGATTCATACGAACAATCAAGTTTGTATATTAAGACGTTGAATACCTCTCCACTTCGCTTGCATGGAACAAGAAATGTTTTGCTTCTCCAGCTTTGTCTTTTCCTGCAAAGACCAACCCAAAAGGTTTTAAGTAGATCTCTCCATCTGCATATTTCTTCAAATCAGTTTGGGTCTTCGTAGGTGCCATAGGAGCTTTTATTCAAACATTTAGCAGTTGCTAATTCAACATCAGTTAGTGCCAAGCACTCATAGTAATTCTTAATGAAAATATTGATGTGAGTAACCCCAAGGTTGAATTCATATGGTTAAGTATTTTGAAGATACGAAAAAGATTTATATTTCAAAATCAATGCAACTTGTATAAGATCATACAAGTTCATTAATGGAAAATTTGCAATAGTGAAATCACAAATATTTCCATTTGCCTGGCCACAACGTACTTAATATTTTGGACTATTTTTTCAAATACCACATCCTTCTTTATACTTATGACCTTCTTAATCTTCACCAATGACCAGACATCCTCAGTAGATTTGGCAAGAACATCATGAAATTGAATCTTCATGTGAGTACCTTCATCTTTTAGTTTGAAATTTCCTTCTGCTTTGAATTGAGGCATGATAAACATCATCTCATTCACTGGAAAGTCTAACTGGCCTGCATCAGTATTCGTTACAACATAACTCTGCTTCGGTTTCTTTTCGAACGAATACATATGATTATATGCAACCTTGGCTTCGATTGTTTCATAATTATAATGTTTGGATGGATCACCTTTATCCAAACCTGGAGGATCACTTGCAAGCTGATTCATTATGCTTTGGACCAACCTCAACTTTTCAACTTCTGCTTCAACTTCAGCTTTTTTTTTCCTCCTTTGACTTTTCCACAACAATGGATTTTCCTTTATCTTTCGAAGCATCATCTTTCACATTTGGCTTCTTATTGCTCCCACCAGCAGCATCACCAATAACAACTCCTTTTGTGATAGGCCTTGAAATTGGCATTGTAGTGACCGCAATTGAAGTAACTAGCCCAACAGATGACATTATTGGCTTTGTTGTTAGGATCTTCGTAGTAATCACCTTTCCCACAACTTTTTCATCTGCATGCGAAGCTTCACTAGCAGCCTTCACATCTTCTACCTTTCTTTCTCCCACTTGCACCCTTGTAGAAACAGGTGGGGCATCTGCTGTTGGTAAAAGGCTCGAAATTCTAGAAAGAGGGGCCAATTGCTTGTGTAGAGTAGCTTCAAATCGAGTGAATTTTTTAGACAAAAATTCAGGAGTTAGTAGAGAATATGAAACTGGTTTGATAGATAAGTCATTGAGCTCCTTCAACAGATTGATTACTTCTAGAAAATTTTTACTTTCCGTTGCAGAAAGTTGAGTAAGTTGAGGACTCCTGCTTTCGTACAACTTGACAAATCTGGTAACATCATCACAAATAATGTCAATCGTTTGATTGAGAGATGCATAATCCTGTTGAACACTAACAATCTTTCTTTGCATATCTTTACGAAGCTCACGAATCTGCAAATTGACATCTTCACAGACTTTCTTGACATCTTCAACGAACAAAATGTGTCGGTCCTTCGCTAGTTTCTTCAAATCTTTTACTTCTCCCAAAAATGTCGAATTTTGAGAATTCACTCGTAGCTCATTGTTTTGATCAACCTTCTCCAAAATTCTTGATTCTGATTCACTAACCATCCCAGAGACTTTATTCACCACCTTTGCTTCGAACATTTGCAACATCGTATCAACTTCCAAACTTGAAACCGATGAACCACCCCCCAAATCAGCTTAAGCTTGAAGTATGGATTTCAACTTTGTATTTAAAATCTTAAATTGTTTCATTGTCATCAACATATGATATGGAAAATCTACTTCTTCATTATCAAACTCCAAGTCCTCAAAGATTCCTCCAAAACCCTCATTATCAGTGTTGGTTTCCATAAAAATTGAGTCTTTAGCAGGGGAATTGGTTTTGGGTGGATCAGTAGATTGAGAAGAAAAAAATGGAAGTAAAGGGTTGATTGATAATATTTTTGAATGTGGGTGAGTCTGTGGTTGAGGTAATCTGTGTGAGTTGTAGAGGTAATGAAACAATAACATCATGATTACCTTGAGCTTCTGTCTCCGCATCTCCGTCACCCATGTTGACATTTACATCGATATGAGATACGTTTTCATTGATGTATGAAGTTCGTGCCTCCTCATGAGATGACTTGGCAAATGAATCTTTGGGTGGTATGACCATTGTCTGCTCAGGAGTTGAACTTTCCTTGTTAAGATTTGCTTCAGGTGTTTCAAGAATTCGTTCATCTTCATCTTTTGTGGATGTGGTTGTTATAACAAGCTTTCGTGTCTTCTTCTTCTTCTCTCTTTGAGAAATTTGTTTGGCCATATCTTCAGCCATTCGTTTCTTAGACAATGGAGAAATCGGAGCTGGTATTTCACGAAAAATGACACCCTGATTAGTAAGATGAGTCTTTCTTACCACATTAAGAGTTGGAGACTTGTGAGTATGCTTAGACTTCATTTTTATTCTTCAAAAAACACCAGTCTTCGAAGGAATAACCTCTTTCTCTTGAGTATCTTCAACATTAGTCTCAATTGGAATAGTCACATCAGCAGATACTTCTTTTTATCACTTTAACTTCACTAGGCTTCTTCTTTGGAGACTTCTTTGTCGTGGTTTCAGAAACAAGCTTTTCAGAAGAACCTCGTTCATTCTTTTTCGAACGTTTAGACTTCTTCTCTTCCCTTGTCAACAATATCCCTGTTTGAACAATAGGATCAATGTTTTTCAAATATGCCACCAAAACAACATTCGTAGGATCAACACGCTTCAACATAGCATCTGGAATACGAGCAAAAAATAGAAACTTGTCTGCATCATCAGTCATATTCTTCGGATAATGGTATATTAAGAATCCTTTTCTTCCTCAAAACTCACCAAAATCCCTTCCTTCTCATAGAAGTGTTGCAAAATCAAACTCCAATACCTTGCACACAAAATTCCTTGAATTGAATTCGTGTTCTCAACATGCTTTTGGAATTCCTTCCAAAGTTGTGTAGAATACTCCACCGGTATATCATAGTATAGCCCAGCAACCATGGCATATACTTCCATCCTTTGTTATTCGAGTCCAACAGTGTGACCAGTCAGACATCTTAGAAAAAATTCCAAAAAGAAAGTTCCAAATGCATGGAAGACCAAATTTCTTGAAATCATTGATCTTTGTAAGTTGGGGTTGATGACCCATCTTGTTGAACATATGTACGATTTAGGGAAATTGAAGATCAGTGTCGGGTGGAGAATTTGGGATTTCCAGTATTTGACAAAATAGCTTCTTAGAGAGTCTAACCTTCTTATCGTTCACCAGGTTGATTGTGATAATATCCAAAGATTTGCTGTATGTAGCAGTTGATCATGCTTGAGATAACCAGGAAGAGGAACAACAAAATATTAGAACATAGCTTTGGATAGAACAGAACTTTGTAAAGCGACAATCAACATCTTGAGTTCTTCTGGATAAGTAGAAACATTAGCCTCTATTTGGTAGTTAGTTCCTTAAATCTTCATGATTGGTTGTGAAGTAACATCTTCAGTTTTGTTGGCCGGAACATCAGTTTGAGTAGCCATGATTAGGGTTGGAAAATCTTGTGAAGAACAGTTGAATTTTTCAGAAAGAATTTTGGGAATTTTTCTTTTGAAAGCGTAAACTGATAACAAACCCTTGAATCCCCTTTTATATGTAACCGTGGAGTTTGAATTTGAAGCGGCATGTGTATTTAATGATATCTGACATGGCACCTTGAAAATCGGACCACTACCCTATAAAAGTAGCCACGCGTGAAAAAGTAACAGTCACGTCTCCTTGGAACCCGGACCGAATACCATGTGTCACCATAAAATAGGCTGTTTTGTTTTCCCCAATAGAATTGTAACTGTCAGAACCCTTCGAATGGAAGTAAGGATCTTTTAATTTTGGGTTTTAAAGTAAAGTCATTTGCCAGATGTTCAAAATCATCAACCTAAGTTGGTGTTACTCAGAACCTCAAGGATTTCTTGAGTGTGGTGTTCCAAAAATTAGATGAGAAGCAAAAATAAGAAAATTTTGGAAGTCTTTATGTCGATCAATTATTTGACACAAAAGCAGTATAAACCCCGGGAAAAGGTTACTTCATTAATCATAAAGAGAGATGATCAACTGCTTGTGTATGTTCTCGTGAAATACAATCGAATACTTGTAGAGAAGTATCAAAGAGTTTCTTTTATTAGGAAGCATGGGTAGCTATAAGAATTTCAATACATATCAACCTAAACATAAGGTGAGAAATTGTAACAGAAATTACTTGTATGACCAGTGTAGTCAGTGACAAGTTTTCTTTGACAAAACAATCTTAAGTAACTTTGAATTTTGAAGTAAACTCACACGGAAATCATATTCATGGAAAAAATTTGTGCTAGATCTTGTTTGGTAACAAACATCGTGGGTTTCGAATGTTTGATCAAGACCACTCATACGAAATGAATATGATTTGAAGTTTCGAATTTAAGTACTAAAACAAATGTTTCGTGAAAATCTAGAACAAAGTTCCCCGTTAATTCCTTAAAAGTTTAGAAAATTGGGTTTCACTTTCATCACGGTCTCATGATGTCAGATCATAAACAAAGAATTTTGATATGTCTAAGTCTCGATTAGTTTGATCAAAGATCTCTTGGACATATGTCTTCGTGTGTGATCATGTAAGAACTTTCAGATGAAAAAGATTGGTGTAAGACACGAAATGTACCTCTGTTATATTTGGACAAAATAGTAAACTCTTAACTCATGTGAGAAGAGTAAGGTAGGTCAGGAGACTAATATGAATACAAGCCTGATTGGGAAGAAATTTTTGTATGAAAGATTTCATTAAGGCTTTCGTACACTCATATTGAGTTAATGAAGGCTTTGGTCAACATGTTGTAGAATGCTTCTAGGGACAAGTTAACTAATTCAAAGTATTCGACAATTTAGTTGACCCTAGAAGTGCAAGCTGTGACAACCCGAAGTTCGTTCCTTCGTCATAACCCGATACGTCATTAAAAATCCATCGTATTAAATTCGTCCCGTTAACCTTTGCGTTAAATTAATTTTATCGCGACTTTTATTTTGATTTCGTAAATGTCGGGATGTGTCATAATCATTTAAATATTTTCCATATTTTGTTTGGAAAATTATTATTTTCATCTAAATCGTGATTACGACAAATTTATCCGGTTCGACCAAAAGCACCGTCTAACGGTAGTATCGGGTAGAATTCCTCCAGGCCACAAACTCAACCCCTATATAAGGGATTAAGTGACATCATTTTGAGGCTTTTACTCTCTCTCTAAAAAATTTCTCTCACTACTCTCTCTCTCTCTAAAATCCGAAACTTAGCCAAAATCATCCAAAACCAGCTCCAAATCACTAAGGTAACTTCCCTAACTCATGAATTAGCATCTTAGACCTTCAAATTCGAGATTTTTATGAGGATCAGGACCATTAGCATGAGTTTACGGTCCTAGAACATCCCTAGGCCGTGAACTCATGAAAATGGGGTTTTAGTGCCATAAAACCCTTCCAAAACACTTCTAGGGCTTAGATTCGACTTAGAAACTTGCATGCATGGACTAAGGACCCCAAAATCATAATATTTGATGTATGAACATGAGTTTACTGCACAAGAAAATTCTTGGACCGTAAACCCCCATGCATGAACCATAAACTTCTTTTAAGGTGTTTAAAATGCCCTTAAACACCACCACAAGCTTCAAAACGTGTCTTGGACCCTCTACTCCATCATTTGAAGCACCAAATCATACAAGAAGGGACCAAACATGAATTTATGGTCCAAGAACAATCTTGGACCGTAAACCCTCAATCTTAGACCTTAAACACCTTTTTGGGTGTTAGTTTTCCCTAAACACCTTCAATGAACTTCGATGAGTGCTTATATCCTTAGAACCGTTCTAGAAATGCACCAAAACATCATCAAATGGGATAAACTTGAGTTTACGGCCCAAGAACATTCTTGGACCATAAACCCACCTCCTGAGGCTGTAGAAACCCCTCAAGGGGTGTTAAGGTGCCTTTAACTCCTTGAATAGCTTGGTGTTGGACCTAGAATCGCATGTGATTAACCTACAAACACCAACACCCATGAATCTTAGACAAACATGAGTTTAATATTGTAAACTCATGTGTTTAAGGTAGTAAACTCCCCAAGAACATCTTCATACACCGTAAACCCTTTTATGAGTTTACTCTTGAGGAGTAAACTCCATATCCGAGCCTTATACGTCCTTAGATGTCACCCGGGTCACTCCAAACACTTGATTTGAAGTGTTTTCGCATCTTGGAGTGTATAATCAAATCTAATTAGTGATTTAAAGTCTAATTAGATACATTTGTATATCATTTCATATTACATAGGAACCTCACACGTTATCAAGTGCCGATCCAATACTTAGCATCCAATTCGACACGCTTCTCGACCGATGAGTTCATACCCCTACACTTTTTCAAATGTTTTTCACTGTTTTCAGGGGGGAATACAAGCAAAAGTACAAGGAAATCTTGTACTCAAACTTATTCTTTTCAGTTCAAATGTTTTTATTCAATATGTTTCTAATATCAAAAACTGTGTTAATCAAATAGTTCTAATTACGAAGTTAGCTTTCAAACTGATCGTAGATTTCTTTATAGAGTGTTACAAATCTAAATTATATTTCACATTCTACGAATAATTCATACTAATCATCAATTAGAACTATTAAGAATATGAATACGAAAGTACAACTAGGAACAGAACGAATATGAAAGTATAACTAGGAATAGAACGAATACGAAAGTACAACTAGGAACAGAACGAATATGAAAGTATAACTAGGAATACGAATACGAATACGAATGCGAATACGAATAGTATTAGGATTAGGAATATGAATACAAATGCGAATACGAATTCGAATTCGAATACGAATACGAATAGTATTAGGATTAGGAGTAGGAATACGAATACGAATATGAAAATGAATACGAATACGAATATAAAATACAAATATGAATATGATTAAGATAGGAATATGAATGCGAATATGAATACAAATACGAATAGTATTAGGATTAGGAGTAAGAATACGAATACGAATAGGAATACAAATATCAATACGAATACGAATATAAAATACGAATATGAATAGGATTAAGAACAGGAATACAAATACGAAGACACGCTTATAGGTACATTCAAGTGTAACACAATTAGGATATCAGAATACCTAGCTAATATACCAAGTATGAAAAACAATCAAACATTACATTGGGATTCAATAACCTAACTTACTTTTAGGATAATATAGGATTTTCCTGG